ACAATTCTTATGGTTTAACTGCTGGTTCCTACTCCCTTGAGGTTCTATTTCTAAGGATCTTGCCAACAACTCCAGAAGCTTCAGAATGCAGGGCATGCATGTTAGGCCTCTGCTTTGTGAACTGGATGACTTGTCAATGTGCTTCTGGATCCAATTCAATGTGCTGGTTTGTGGCATGGGACCGAGCTATTTGCGGGACTGCTTTTTCCTGTTTATATCATCTTGGACCATCAGATATCACACATAAGGCAGGCTGCAGTTATCTTTGGCTAGGAATCAACATTTGTTGGGTTCCAGGAGATGTGCCATCTCTGCTGTGGAACCCACCTTATGGAATATTCTGCCCCTCCCCCTGAAATTAGATTTTCTCCATGGCTTTTGATATTCTGAAATATGTCCAGTCCTGGGGCTCCCATGGAACTGGAGACTGATCTAGAGTGCTCCATTGTTGAGGAAGCCATTTTTATTTCCTTCGAATATGGGATTTCCAGTTTTTTATGATATTTATTATGATGATCGTTTATATTTATATTTGCTATTTTTATATTTGTGGTTTTTATCTATTGTTGTGCACTGCCAAAAATCACCTTGGATGAGAAGGGTGGCTATATAAATTTGATAAACAAGCAAACAAACAAACAAATAAAACTGATAGGCAGGACTAAAACAGTAAGAAGTAGTATTGCATCTCCTTCAGTTTAATTGTTTGTGTATGAACTGGTTTAAAGGTTCTTGGTGTTGGGAAAAATGGTGAAGTATCAGGGGATTCTAGGTCCATCAGTCAATCTTTTTTTTGGTTGCAGATGGGTATAAAATATATACTATTACAACTATCCATAGAATAAGGATTTAATATATGAAATTAGATATTAATTACAAAGTTATAGGGATTACTATAGCAAAACCGTAACTCTAAATTATAAATTAAATTATAACAGTTGTACTTGCTATTGAAATTATTTATTCATATCCCACCTTTATTATTTTCATAAATAATTCAAGGTGGCAGACATAGCTAATATTCCTTCTTCCAGAACATTTCAGAATAACAACCTGTGAGGTGAATTGGCCTGAGAATGCATGTTAAAATCAGAAAGACCAAGATACAGTAATACAATATGAAAAACAAAACAGAATAACAAAACAAAATAGACAAATGTCAGACAAAATGATATAGTCAGCTTCTCAGAGATTTTATGACATAAGAAATTTAGTGTAAATTCATTAGCAGGCTATATGAAGTCATAGGAATTAACATTTAAGATACAAAATATTATCAACCTTACAGCCGCAAAACTGTGAAACTTTAACACTAAGGTTTAATTGTATGAATGGTATTTACTGACAGTATTAACTGTTAAGACTATTAGGGCAATGCATTATAACACAATAGCATAACATGAATAAAATAAAACACTTAAAGCAGTTAGCTAAACAATGTAGAATATTTGGTATAATACACTAAGCTTTTACAGTGGTAGCATAAAAGTGTATATAATATTTGATGTATTTACTGTGATCCAAAATCAAACACGTGGAAGAGAAAAAGAATGATCAATGGGCACAAACAGCAAGCACTGATATGAGAAAAGGTAAACTCAGAGTTGGGATGTAGAAATCTATCCAAGGTAATGCAGCAGCTCTCTCTCCTAACATTGAAGAGTTTGAGGAGTCTGATCAGTACACCATTAGAACAACCCAAAGATATTTTAACTCCAAGCACGCTTATAGTATTGTGCATAAGCTAGGATTGCTGAAAGCTAATTGGCAAGAGGTTTACTCTTCTTCTCCTCTTCTTAAGCTGGGGAATTCTTGGAGTTGAAATCCCTACATCCTGTTATATCTCACTCACTAAGACTGAGAAATACTGATCTAGGGAAGACATTCAATGCA